GAGACATCGGACAGTGTAAGATATGACAAAATAATAATTTATAAATTATCAAGGGTTCATGAGGGAGGGGGGAGGGGGGAGGGAGGGGGGCAATGAGGGGCTGCTACTAGGGGCTTAAGTGGAGAGTAAATGCTTTGAGAATGATGAGGGCAATGGATGTACGAATGTGCTTTACACAATTGATGTATGTATGGATTGTGATAAGAGTTGTATAAGCCCCTAATAAAATGGTTTAAAAAAAAAGAGTTGCAGTCTATGAGACTCACAGAGGTAGTTCTGCCCTGTCATGTAGGGTCACTATGGGTCAGCATCAACTCCGTGGCAGTGAGTTCAGGCTTTGCTGTTTTTTTGAAGGAGCCATAGTGACATAATGTGTTCCATGTTGAACTACTAGGCACAAGGTCAGTGGTTCAAATCCACCAGGCACTCCTCTGGAGAGAGATAAGGTTGTCTGCTCCTATAAACATTAACAACCTTGAAAACCCGGCGTAGGTCACTCTGAGCCAAAGTCCGCTTGATGGCAGTGGGTGTGGTTTTAGTATCTTGTAGGTGGAAGTCCTTGGGTGGCACAAACCTAAATGAGGGTGGTTTGAACCCACCCCTTGGCTCCCCAAAAGAAAGTCCTGGCGATCTGCTTCCATCACCACTATAGCCAAGAAACACCCTCCTCATGAACTGCTCCGCTCAGTAGCACATGGAGTTTCCGTGAACCTGAATCAACTTGGTAGCAATGGCTTTGACCTTGTGGTATCAGTAGGGATGCCCGAGGGGTACATGCTTAGCTGCTAACTAAAAGGTTCAAATCCACCCAGCAGTGCTGAGGGAGAAAGACTTGGCAACCGACTAATGAACTCCCCACCCTTGGAAACCTCTGGAGTCCAGTTCCAAACGGGACACCAGGAGTTGGAATTGAGCCTGGCACGTGATATAGCGGTTGTGTAACAGTGACACAAAACCTACTGGCTCCTACACTGAAACACAACTAAATGGGGACATTTTTGCTATCCATATTTTGCCACGATTAAAAATCTTTTTTTTTAATTAGGGGATAAGTGAAAATAATAGTACATTTTGCATCGAACGTCATGTGGAATTTCAGAGACCGCTCCCCTTTGCTAAAAGGCACCTTTCTGATCCGAGTGTGGGGCAGAAGCATCCGAGATGCTATAAATAGCAAGGGCCAGTTTTTTGTAAGGGACTACAGTGGCGGCACAGCGCTGGGTGAATTGACCCGGGTGTTGGTATTGGTCATTCCTGACGGCAGCCTGCGTGCTGTGAGCGCCGTGCCCTTGTGCTGTGGGTCTCCCCCCCGTGCTATACTTGCTGCTGTCACCCCCAGTGCTCCCAGCCAGCCACCAGGCTGGCAATTTGTAGGTGTGAGGAGGGCAGGGCAGCCAATCTCAGATTCATTTAATAGGCAATCTCCTGCTTTTTATGTTCACAGAAAAGGTGGTGCTCAAGCCTAATGATGTTTCGGTATTTACGACGCTCACCATTAATGGACGCCTATTTGCTTGCCCACGGGAGCAATTTGATTCACTGGTACGTACGTGTGAGCTGCCTCCGCCAAGCGGTTTCGCAATCAGAAAAACTTATCAGGAGCTTCGTTGTGAACCAGGTGGCAAGCACAAAGGAACCCTTGAATGCTACTTTCCCTTTTGTCTTTCTGTGCTCTGTTGTGAGGTGGGTGATGGTATCCGTGGGTGATGCTAGGAGCTTTAGAATCAGCCAGTAGCACCCTGGCCGGGACTTCACTCAGCTCTCAGTAACCCTGGTTGTAATTCACCACCTTGAACAACCCGCCCCCCGCCCCCAAATCTAAATAGGCATATTAAAAATCTGCATACCTAGACCAGGAGGGAAATTGGCTTTCTCTTGTGTTTAAAGCAAGATGCTGCTGCTCATCAGATTCTGAAGGGGGATGTAGCCACACATAATGGCAAAGCCACCATCCAGATGAGGAAGCACTGTACCCTGCGGGTCCCTGGTGCTGCTCTGCTGAGGAAGTGCCAAAGGCCCAGCCCCCTTTACGGAGCCTCCACTCTCTCTTGTCCCCTGTGACGCAGAGCCGTCTGAATTAAAAAACAAAAAAGAACCCAGGGCCAGTGACTTAGGAGCTGCCCCTTGTATGCAGGTGATACGGTTCACAAAATTGATCACGGGAGTACTAGCTGTTCGGGTATCTATGGGGCCAGTTTAGACCACAGACAACGAATGTTCTCGGTCCGAGGACCCACAGGGCAGATTGTGTAAGGTAAGTGCAACAGGAGAGCTGGAGGAGAGCCCATCGGGTTTGGGCAGAGTTTAGCTCCGTAAGTAAAACACGAATGCAGCTCCCTTTTACCTAAACCCGACCTCCTCGGCCAATCAAGATTCCCCTCCTTGGTCTTTTCAGAGCTCGTTCCACTTCACAGCAATCTCCGGAGACCTATCTGGAGAGAGCCACCCTGTGCCCTCCAGTGACGGTGGTGCTGTGAGTTGGGCATTGGGTTGCTCATGGTAAAACCACAGGTTCAAAGCCACCGGCCGCCTGGCAGGAATAAGACGAGACCGTCTGCTACTGTCAAGATTTGCAGCCTCAGAAACTCTAGAGCAGTGGTTCTCAACCTTCCTAATGCCGCGGCCCTTTCATAGTTCCTCATGTGGTGACCCCCACCCAACCATAAGGTTATTTTCGTTGTTTCATCATAACTGTCATTTTGCTACTGTGATGAATCTGGCGACCTCTGTGAAAAGGTCATTCGACCCCCAAAGGAGTCGCGACCCACAGGTTGAGAACTGCAGCTCTCGAGGGTCACTGTGAATCAGAATCTACTCCAAGGCGGTGGGTTCCAGGTTGGTGGGCTTGGTTTGGTGACGGCATGTGGATATTTACAAGATCTAGATCCACTTGGAAAAGGATTGAGCACATGTATCAGTTGGTCTCTTGCAAGCCCTGGCCCGTCTCAGCTCGGCCACCCCCTTGCTTCCCCTCCACCACCAGCGCTAAGACCCGGGGCTGCTCACAGCCCTAGCCATGAATGCTTTTTGCCGTTTGCATTCCCAGAGGAGCCCTGGGGTCAGTGTTTGAGTTTGGACTGAGAAAGGACAGGTCGGCCGTTGGAACCCACCGAGTGGCTCCGCAGGAAAAGGCTCTCATGGCCTGCTCCTGAAGGTGACAGCCTCGTTGGGGACCCCAGGGGTTTCGGGTGAGTCAGAATGGACTGAGGGGTCCTGTGCAGTCCGCTCACTACCTTCCACAGAGCGATGTCCACCCCAGCGGTGAGAGATGACAGAAAGGACTGCTGTTCCTGAGAGGGCCGCCTCCCCCGACATGAGGCGCAGAGAGCCACAAAGCTTAGCTCGGTTGAAAGTGCTGTGTGATGTGTTTACCACACAGGCTCTCGGACTGCTCTTGCCAATTGGTGCTTGGCCCAAATGCCAAGCGATGTGGGATATAGATAGAGTGTGGACTGTCTCCAGCTCCCTGGGGGCCTGATACTAACTTTTTAAGCCTCTGTTTATTTGCTCACAATCCTGCAGTCTTGCAAGTCCTTAGTGTTTGCTAGGCTTGGTCTTCCATTTTAAGGCCTGGGTAATTGAAAGGAATTTCCTTCTTTTTTTAAAAAAATCATTTTATTGGTGGCTCTTTCTTACAGTTCTTATCACAATCCATACATCCATCCATTGTGTCAAGCACATTTGTACATATGTTGCCATCATCAGTCTCAAAACA